AAAATCATTCCCCACATACGATAAATTTTGCTACTTGTAACAAATCAACTATAGCAAATAAGCTTCTTTCAACCAATATGGAACAATTTCTAAGACGGATTAATTCTCTAAATAATTAGACATCCTTTGACTAATATGGCCTAATTTTCTAGACATTTTCAGCCGGTATAGAAATTCAAGAAGCTTTAACCAATGCCAAAAGCCTAAAAAACAATGTTTTTAGAATCGTTCTCGAACTTAAACTTAGGACCTGATCGCTTTGTCAGATTTTTTTGAACTGTTGGCACATAAACGCAACGCTAAAGAATTTGCCAGCCCGTAGTCCCAATATAGCATCCCGAAAGTAAGGGCGATTGTCCTGGGAATAAATTGCTGAGGCAGGAGTCAAGTTCTTGCCTTTAGTTACGTTTCCGGGAGTCTGCAAGGAAACGTCTTCTCGAAAAAACTGACAAAAGTTCAAGTACGATTAAAATTTGAATTTTAATCATACGAAAGAATAAACAAAAATGAGACAAAACTTACAATGGTTTAATACAAACTAGACAACGCTCTGAAAAAGTACAAATCAGTTTTGTCTTCGTAAACGGACATTATGTTTTGTACTCTTTCCTTTAATACTCAAAACTATTTCTTTTTTGTGAACTTATGGCCACTTGATACATCGAAAAAATTGAATTTTTGTACGGAAGCGTCTTTTTGCAGGCTGCCCCCTACTTTCCGCTGAAATAGGATTGAATCCCGAAATGCCATCCCTCGACAGCATTTGTTGTTCGAGCAATTCCACTCACGGCCGCATGTCGCTGGTTCCAAAGGGAGGGTGGGAATGACACTTCACGGTTTGGCACCAAGCTTTTTATATAAGTAGAGCCGAAGTACAGACACAACTCGTCTATTTGCTTTATTTTCTCGAGTTCTAAACAATTTCTGTCGCATACATTCTAAATTTCCTGAACGATCATGTCATAGGAATCGCCGATCTTTTCTTTTTTTTCGAATGCAAGGGATGGCAGCATTTTTAAAGCCAGCGCTAAATCGTGATTCGTTGCGTAGGTCACTTTCAGACCCAGTTCATTAATTTTTTTTATGTGACTCTGGGAGAGATGGAAAAAAACAACCCATGAAATGTGCTTCGGGGACTGTTTTTTGGAAGGACTGAAGAGCAGCTTGCTCAAAATCTAACAAAATTTTTTCAAGCCGGCAGTTGGGTGCTAAATCAATTAACGCCTCCAAGAAGCGATCGTAGGTTTTTTCGGTTTTGTTAGGAAGGGAGGCGTAATTGCAAGCTGGCGCAATGCCAGTTACACTAACATGAATTGAATATAGCTGATAGAACATTTTTGGAGTAACTTAAAAAGTTCCATCGGCTAACCAGAAAGATGAATCTACAGAACTCTCAGCATTTCGGCGTCGCCGCAAAAAATTGATATATTGAGCATATCCAGTTTTCGGTTATCTTATTTTTTTGCTTGAATTAAAAATCTTGGCCGGACGTTATAAGAATTGGCTTGTTATTAGATGAAACTGTGAACTCGAAAGAAGACTCAATCATAGTGTGTTTATTGTGTTTGCGCTTGTTTATCACTTCAGTAAAGTATAAAGTGACTATCAGAATTTAATTTTTTCAGAAGTTGTACGTCAAATTGTTATGAATTAGCACAAGCAGCTTTTTTAGTGATCATAATGGCTTAGCGAAAAGTCTAATTAAAAATGGTGCGTTAATTGCAGGATTAATTTTGGTGTGATAAGAGTTAAGATAAGGAATTCATACAGCATTAATTTTAGTAATGAAATGACTAGGTGTTAAAATGTACTTTGTTAAACTGGAAAATAGTAGTTAAATTGTTTTCGATTTAAAATGTTTAGTAGTGAAATGACTGGGTGTTAAAATGTACGGTGTTAAACTGTGTTTCAACAAGTTGTAAATTGTAGGACACCGCGCGAAATATATCGGGCGTTAATTGTTCCAAATTGGCCAAAATGGCAACCTTCAAACCCCCATAATTTTACGAAAAACAATCACAGGTGAAATATCTTTCAAAATTTAAGTTCAGGACAACAATACCTTTTGAATGATATTTAAAAAATTCCGTCAAAAATGGCGGTTAAAAAATCGAAATTTGTCTGAAGAATAAAAACCCATCCCGAGCACAAATATTCCGTTATTTTCGTATCGAAAGTCGGAAAAATAAAGCGAGATCATGGAAACTTGACATTGGATCGAGATCTTGGACCTTTGAAATCTTCATGTTAAATTTTGGCTAAAAAACATACAGTGTTGATACACAGTGATGATTTAAGTTATCCGGAAAAAATAACAAAAAAAATAAGTTGATTGATTCAATGTTTTCAAGCTGAGGTTTTTCTTAAATCTCTTCTTGATACTCTTTTTAAAGCTACTACACCTTGCGCCAGTTTTCGGAAATTGAACCCTTTTTTAAAAACTTTTTTTTGGGCTACGTATACATGAGTCTCACTTTGATATAGTTTTGTCTGGAATTGAACTTAAGATTCTGTCACAACTTTTAATTGATTAAAAAATTCAAAATTGATGGCTTTTTGGTGTATGAGGTTGTGCCGGATGGTTCAGATCAGTGCTTTAGATGAGTACAAAGGAGTAACAAACTGTTCTAATTTTCTTCCTTCTTAACGAATGTTTCATTCACCTGGTTTGAGTTTGTCAATTGACCTTTTATGAAAGGCTTACGAAATAGGTGGATGGTTAGAAATTATTTTTTTGTATTGATTTTTTTTATAAGATGCAATATATCGCTTTTTACAGAAAATTTTACGCTATAATTCTGGCTCATTTTTGTATCGCAAGACGAGCGAAGCTCCTCTTCGTCTCTTTGTTCAAAATGTTTTGATTGCTTTGTAAAGGGGAAAAGAGCTATGGCCTAGCATAATTTTACCAAGCAATTCTAAGTACCTCAATTAAAATGATTGAAAAGGGCGTTAATTTGAAACGCTTCTAGGTAATTTATATTCAGAAAAGGTTTTTCCGAAGGCCAAAATCTTTAACAGTGTGTCTAGAAAATTGGTCTGCAATTATTGCTTCTCAGTCCTATTTACAGCTAAAAGAGAAGATGAGGTAAAATACAGCGCATGATGCATTTTATTACTAAATGAAAAGATTTCTAAAACTTGGTTTTAATAGTAATCCCTATCTCTCAAATTCACAAAACGGATCTCTTTAACTATACCCTACTCGTGTACCTAGTAACAAATACCTCCCCCATAAAAAAATAAATCAACAGTTAAGCATATCAGAATTTTATACCTACGAATATCCCCTTTTTTGCAAAAAGGGGATATAGTTAAAAAGATCCCACAAAACTTTTAAACAAAAGTTAAAAAATGTTTTAAATTTTTTTTCAGGAAATATAACTGGCGGGATTGTTTTGGCATAAAAATTTCTAGTAACCTCAAGGTTTTCTGGTTTTCAAGTGCAATCTTAATTTTTGAAGTTAATGTGACTCAAAACACAATAAGATGTTCAATATGCTGTTTTATTTTTTGTCAATGAATGCTATTGGTAAAATGCTTTTGGCCCTCTGATAGGAATAGAGAAAAGGTGAGATGACAAAAATCAATTGTTTTAAGAGTCAATTAAAGTGTCGTCAACCACTCTTGTCGCCATTCTGCGGCTTAAAAACATTCCTACTATATCGGTGACAGGTATTTATGAGCTACTTTCACTATACTTCCCTCCCTAGTTTCAGACGATAGTCAATATTTTTGATGGTTATGCTTGATAGATGATTCATATCAAGGGTGTCCACTGGCTATAGACATGGAGTAGATTTTCAGAGCTGATGTTTTTATTGGGGCGTTGATTTTATCCATGTTATTCCTGTCAGGTTTTCTATTGCAAAATTAACCGTCCGCAAGGAATTGGACAAATTCCCTCAATAAATGTCCAGCATGTTAGAAAGACAAAAGAAGGAAAATGTCCCTTCCTATAGAGAGGAATTATTAAACCAATCAAAAGCTCCAATTTCAATTTTAGCAGACTACAAGTCTCAATATTCCGATTTTCCTCAATTTAGTTTCTTTCTGTCTTAAATTTCGTCTTCTTCTCCTCAATAATTCTGGCCAATTTCTGGCTCAAAAAAACTTTAAAATAAAATCAATTTCTGCATTCATTTTAAAAAATAAAAGTTTTCAATTCTGCCAGTTTTTATTCAAAATCACGAACATTCAACTTTGGAGATGGATCCTTGAGTCAATTCATTGAACATTCTGGACCGATAAAAGCTTCAATAGACTTTCTGGCGACCAATTTCTATCTCAACAACTGGCTCAGAGCTTCTCTCAAGACCCCTTGATGGTAAGTCAGGCTGACGTTTGCTTTAATTTCTCACTTTTCAGCTTTCAAGTGATCAATTACCATCTAAAACTGGCGAAGTCAATTGGATTCACGCAGGGATGGTGTGATTTTTTGATTGATTTTCACACCTTTTGATTGCTAATTGAGCATTGTTCACACCTAGCATGACAGAAAGTAGTCTTTCTCGACTTCACGTGCCAGAATCACTTGCTTTAGAGTTTACTTTATGAAAAAATGAACAAAAAGTGAGTAAAAAGTGTAAGTTATGAATAAAGAAGGTACGTGAAGCAAGCTTGAACAAGTTGTGGTAATTGTGTGCTTGTTTTGTACTCGACTCTTGTTTCTCGAACGTCAATTTTTGGTAGCAAGGTGACAAGTGCGTACTCAACACAGACGCCAGAAGGAGTGGTTCTGGCTGCGATTATTTTGATTGACCAAATTGTGCCGATCGACTCTAATTGCAATCAACGACCACCTTTTTACCAAAACTGCACGTAAAAATATGAATAAATGTACACAATACACAAGTGAAAACATTGGTATATACACAAACATGCTCGATATATATTTATTCGGATCGTCGCTATATCGTGTCTTTTTGCTCAATTTTGTCATTGTCAATTAGAGTCGTAATTAAAAGGAGACGCAGAGTTACTCGATAGAAAGTCGTGTATCTGTTCGTAAACTATTGATTACAATATTGAATAGTTGGTAGAAAGTTGGTAGACAATATTTCTGACGCCACAAATCTTTGGTCGATTTAAATATCAAAGTTTTTTTTCATATATTATACGCTCATCGCAGATTGAGTTGTAAGTTTTTTGCTCTGGTTAATTTTTTTGAGTGCCAGTAAATTATCTTAACAATTGTTTAGCTACATCAGAGATTTACAATATAAACTGCTCGGTGATGCGAGAATTTTTAACAAGTAAATTGAAGAGCTTCTGAAAATAAATCAACCGAAGAAAAAAACAATCTTCGTTTCGTGTTTAATCATCAGTTTCAACCGTCTGCTCTCACGAAAAATAAAAGCAGTTTTAAGCTAAAAACTAAAACTGAAGCGATTGTCATTTTTATCAATTTTTACGATTCATCACAATTAAAGATAAAATAAAATTCATTTTATGGTAAAAATTTATCAGTTTTTGTTATTTTAGTTTTTGTTTGATATTCCAGTTTGATTATTCCAGTTCGGCAACAATATATATCTTTTTGCTCAAGACCTATCTTGAGGTGCAATAATTTAGATAGCACTTTGACTCCATATTATTGAACGCTTCCGTGGCTTATCTAAGTCAAAACGATTCCCCAATTAAAATTTATTCGGTCAATTGTTCACGTCAAAGCCGTTTATATTAAAATTGCTCTCCAAATTCTTCATTTTTATTGCAATTGGAAAAAATAATCAAGGTTAGATAAATGCATTTTTTAGTGTTTCCTGCTCTCGATTTTTCCAAAATGTCAACGTTTGTATCATTTTTCATTTTTGCTTCTTATATCCACTTGCAGCCTTACTTTCTCAATTAGTGGCGTTGTAATAGTTTTTTCTTTCTTTGAAGTGAAATTTTTTAATGTTTCAGTCCGCCGCATTTCAACACAGTCACGCGTGGATAATTGTGGAGAGATCTTTCGACTTGTGAAGAGTACTGCACTACAACAGCTAATTTGAAGGGAAATCGACATTTGCCCCCGAACCGCATCAGATTTTCCCAGATACTTCGCACCCTCTTTCCTCCCCATTCTCCCTCGAGGCTGCTTCAGGGAGAGGAAAAATTGACTTTGCTGTCTGTCAACAACAACAACAACAACCACCAATCTAAGTAAAGCACCGTCACCAAGCAATATGGAAATGCGTCTACAGCAGAAATTGATCTCCATCTTAGGTAAGTACAATTCATACTTCTTTTTTTACCAAGTTGGCTCAATAATTAATGCTTTACACGACGACAATCCAATAATAAGCTCGACCTATGTTTTGTTAAGGGGAGCAATTGATTATTAAGTAGACACCGATACGCCTAAACTGTCACGAATGTTTTTTTTTCTAATTCTTGCTTTTCAGGAAACTGGTTAACTAATAACAGAACCTCTCATATTTTAAAAACCTCTCATATTAAATGTTTTTAATTGAAAGCAGACTTTATCCAATAGAGAAGAACATTTTTTTCTTGAAAGTTTCAATTCAACTTTTTTGAATACTTTAAGCCAAAATCAAACAGTTATAGCCAATGAAATACAAAAGCTGCTACAAAGTGATGTCCATTAAAAACAGGATAGTCAGTTACTGAGCGGAATGTTCAGAACACAGTCTTAGAAAAATACAAAAAATGTTTTTTCAAATTAGTGTCGTTTTTTTCCGCATGGTGTGATAAAAAGATCTGAAGGAAAAAAAATTAGGCATATTTTACAGTCATAGTAAAAATGCCATCAGGAAAACAGTTTTAGAAGAAAATTGACTTGAAAAACGAAAAAAAAAATGTTAAAAAAAATTTAAATTTTTTTTGGAATTTTTAGCCTTTGTTTTTAAAATGGCGCTAAAAACTCCAAAAACTACTTTCATTTGAGTACAATTAAGTGTCACGGTTTAAGGTAAGCTAAAATAAACTACTGTAATTGAATATGATATTCCCGTCGACCCGTTCCGATAATTATTTGTGGTACTTGATTTTGCGTGGAAAACAAAAAAAAGAAAAAAACTAAAACTTACCCAAATACGAGGTCTTCCCCATTTTTCAAATGGTCGGAACAATTATTTTAATTTTTCTTTTATATTTCAATTTATCTAAATGTAATTTTATGAGCCCACTCAGCTTAAATGAAATCGAGTAATTTAAATTGAAAAAAAAATTATATTGCTCGAGCAGGATTTGATCCGACGCCTAAGTACACAGTTTACTGATGCCAATTAATTTCACAGTTCCGCCGAAAAAGCAAAGGATCTGACTTTTTACGACACAACTGATAAATTTGTGTTGCAATTTTATCGGCCCGAAAAAATGCTTCTGATTTCGAAAATTGAGAAACGTACCCAGAATTTGCTTTAAAAAATTAGGAAAATTTTAATTGCCAAAGAAAATATTACAGTTTCGGAAAAGTTTAAATTGCTGCCAACAGTTTGTTCAAATTTTCTTGAACAATTTTAATTTGAATTTCAATTTTTTTTAAAGGGACATCATTGCTGCTACATGATACCAACTCATATGATCATGTAAAATTGCGGCAATAATTTTCTTCAGTTTTAGGGAAAACGGCCCGGTTGCATTTATTAGCTGCTCACATAAACTTCAAAAAGAAACCTTTTTAATCCTTTTTTCAAGCAAAAAGCCGTGTCATTGAGTGAGTAATTGCGCTTTTTTACTGGGTGTGGCCACAAAAATTTAATACAAATTTTTTTTGTGTGCTCCCTAAACGTTTGTGAAGTACTGCATATTTGTCTGCAGGAATACCCGCGTTCTACAGATCTTAGGAACAGTTGTTTCTTTGAAAAATGGATCAATCAGTTTTTAGTTTCTTCAATTACTCAAAATAAGTAAAGCTTCGCCAAATGGCGGATTGAAGAGCAAAAAATGTGTTTTGTTGTTTTAATACACTTTCAAATGAGTAATTGGCAAAGATTACATTTGAAGTGCCAATTTTGACCATATTATAAAAATAAGTTGTACTAATAAATTCAGAAAAATCAGCTCATAGTTTTTAGGGTTCTGAATGCAGGACTTTCACGAATGAAAAACCTTTTAGGAAGCAACTAATCAAGAGCAAGTGTATATCATTGAGACTAGATCTGTTTAATCGAATCACAATTGGACGATAAAAAGTTAGAAGACCCATTGAATGCCTGAAATTAAATCTTCGTAAGATCCACTCCTGGGCTCACTTCACTGAAATGAATTTGAGTTTAATTCTCTGATTGAATAGAAGCAATTGTTAATAATGATGATTTTTTTTTGATAAAGTTCAATTACAACTTCGTCTTTTTGTGCACTGATAGCTCTTTTAATCCATGTTTTCAATGAAATATTAAAAACAATCAATTAATACAAGAACTTTATTGTTACATAGAATTTTTAAACCACAAATCTTCAAATTTTAGTTCAAGCTTTTGAATCAAAATTTACTGTATCTGATTTTCTTTCTCAAGTTGCACCATCTTCATTGTTCATTTTTATTCATGGCATGTTGAAAATGTTTTGCTTTTTCAATAAACGCCAAAACGTATCAGCTGACGTTTTTTTCCCAGTCGAACAAGGAATTTTGGCCGTGGATGGGTGAACATCCGCTTGTTCAAACTTTTGACCTAGTGCTGTTCTTTTTTGCGCATCTGTTCCTTTTGACTACGCCTATCTTTTGTCCAAATTTAAGTAACTGTTCTAATCTTGTATACCCCCAAGTCTTCATAAATAAATTTGTGTAACCTCTCACTTAGAGCTGCTTGAAAAACAACTTATTAATTATTCAGCCCTCAAGCATGTTTGAATCTCGGGACTTTTGTTTTGGCAGCACAATTTTTGATGAATTTTCACAATTTCATTTTCAGACTTGCCGGCGCCTTTTTTTCTGAAGGATGTTTGTTTACGTATTTAAATGAAGTGATTTCTGTAAACAAGAATTGTTTATGAGGGGCAGGTTAATGGGCAGGCGAAAAACTGTTGTTGTTTTTAATTTTTCTTCCAAAATTCGATTGCGATTTTTTCAATTTCTGCTTTTATAGATTCCTTCGATCATTAATTTTAGATAATTCTCTTTAATGAAAATTTCCTCATTTTATTTGTGACGCTTCTTAGCCCATATCCAGAACTGTTTCTGGCATCGGAACACAGAAAAATACGACGTTTTCTTTCTGTATGATTGCCAAAATGTATATTTATTTTTTATTTATTCGAAATCGCTTTAATATTTGACAAACAAAGAGGCAATATTAATGTGAAAAATTGGGACTTTTTCACACTACTCTAAGACATGTTGGAAACTAAACAAAACCAAATTTCGGATTAAACAAGCTTTCTGGACGGTTTAAGGTAACGCCTCGGCAAAATGAATAAATAATCCACACAAGCAAAGAGAACCATTTTTCAAATGTAAACATTATTTTTACATTGGTAGATCAAAAGAGGGAATACGTTTGAGTTTTTCCTAGCTCTGGTTTGCTGCTTTGCTCACCAAAGAATTCAAAGCAGTAAGAATTGTTCGGGACTGCTGGATTATTTTTTATTGTTTTCCGCTTTTAAGCGTCATTTTTTGTCAGCTTAATATGCCAAATCGCACTGGAGCGGAAAAAACGCCAGATTTTTTTCCAAATTAAATTATTAAATCCTGAGTTCGGTGCTTTAATTTAACAATTGCCTGCCGTATAGCTGTTGGAAATATGTCAAATATTGAATTTTAAAGCAGTGCTAAAAATTAATTTTTTCAATATTGGACCAATAATGAAAGGCAAATTGAATTTTTATGAGCGGCTTCGTTCATCCTTTGTTTCATGCGGTTTTTGACACTAGTCCTGCCAAAACAAATACGCGCTCAAATTCATTCATAACACCATCATTACTTGAATCCAGTCGCAATAACACTTCGAACCAAATTAAGCGAGGGAGGTGCTACCTGCAACGCCCCGTTTGGCAAGGAAACCAAGCGCGGCAAGATTGG